ATATATATATAAATGTAAGGAATCGCAAATCTAAATTAATAACATTGATATATTCTATTCAATTGGTTTTGAAAAATATAAATGGCGCTTAGAACACACTTTATCGTATACGTTATCTACTCACGCAGATCAGGGTAATTGGAGACTGCTGGAGCTGAAGGATTGGTGACGTCTCCTGGTGCCGCAGGTGACGATGGAACTTGCATGTCAGTGGCCAAAATATTTTGGAACTGATCTCTCAAAGGAATCGTACCAATCACTATTGGAACATTTAAAATTGCGGGTAGGTGAAAGCCTTGGATTTCACCTACAAACTGAATAACAATGGATGGATTACATTGAGATACCAGAGTGCTGTAAAGACATGCATTAAAATTATTAGAACCTAAATGTTACGCAAAATTTAATAAAGTATCAATTACTACACCAAAGTAACAATAGACACTTTAGGCCTAGTATATTTCTTCGATCATTTCTGCAGGAAACGTTATGTATTTTACACACGTTACATCTACAATATGCGAATTTACATTGTACATACGCTACCGTTCCGTATTTTTTGTTTTTTCTAAAATTATACAAATGTAATCTTTTGGAAGATATCTCACGCTGTTAATATGCACATATTCAGCTATTTATAATGACTAATCTCTTTGTGGGTTAATGTACGTTAAATGTCATCTAATGAAGTTTTTCGGAAACTCAAATATCGAATTTACTGTGGTCCGTTTTATTAAAAATGTTTTCAAAGAAATTGACATTTATTACTGTTATTTAATATTTTAAAAATTATTTTTCTGTTCTACTCTTAAGAAACCAAAAACTTGAGAAAATTTCAAAAAATCATGTACTTTTGGCGGCGATTGATGGAAAAAGTGTGTGGCAAGTCCGAATAGGAAGCTGAGACCTGTGTAAATAGAAAACTAAAACCGTAAAGTCTGTGCTATTAGTTAGCACAACTACTTTACATTTGTTGCGTGTTCATTGACGCAACGCATCTCGAAGCCCCTACAAGGTCATCGAGCGCAAGTATAGCGTTAACATATGTTGCTCTTAGAGTAATCCTCCGTTAACATATTTGTTTCACACATGTGTCTATCTAGTCTCGTTGCAGTCGGTTGTTAAACGACCGCCAGGTAGAATCTCCGTGTATGCGATTCCTACCACGCGCTCCTACATCACTGCCCAGCGGCCAGAATGAGGAAATAATTAGAACAAAGGTAGGGTTTAAGATGCTTCACTAGGGTTGGAGTAGTCCCTGTGAAGCAGGCTAAGTCGTTTTGCTGGAATAATTTCACATGAGATTATCCGGGAATCGAACCTACTTCGTGAATGGCGAACGACTTCGCTCTGCACCACAAGATACCTTCTTCGTATGTGCAAAGGGAAAAAGATGTGCAGAAAAGGAAAAATATCAATTTTATACAAAGCTCGGTATACGATTATTTTTAATGTAATTGGTTGAAGTTTCCACTATCATTCTGTTTAATTTTATTTTACAATACATTGCTACTACATTAAAATTTTTCATCTGACACATTGCTACTGGCCTCTAGCGAATCAATTATGAACCAGTTCTTCGGAACTGCTACTGGCCTCTGGCGGAATATATCCGCAACTACGTGCTCTTAGCGAAAGATGGAAAATAATGATCATGATGAAAGTACCAACATATTATTTAAATTATTTATTTTCCACATTTGTGTTGTATTTATCTTAATCAAACTTTGCAAGGACACTGCGATAATTCTGAAGAGGAGCCTGTAAAACTTTGTATCTATTCTTACATTACTCTTTTTGGTATCGTGGTCGGTTACATGTCAGTGAATTTACTTTAATTAGAATATATAACAAAATACCCAAGATATTTAAGATCGCTATTATGAATGTTTTCTGAAAGAAACCAATTGTTTCAAAATATGAATACATTCATAAGTAATAACGTACTCACCTGAAGAAAATATGAGACATATATGCACTTGCAAGGATTTAAAAATGATGCTGGGAGAGGCGGAATGACCATGCTCGACTGAAAGTCCTTTGAACCCATTATGTCCACAACACCAAGCTCTTCTGTCTCCACAACGCTCTCCACCTCTTTGGTCTTTGTCTTTCTGCTTGTACAGGAGTTGACATTTGTAGGAGTGCAGACATATACAGTTTTCTGAAGTAAATCCACGACATAACAAGAATATTTATGTTAAATACACACACATATACAATTTTAAACGCTTGTATTTCCCTTGTATATGGCCAAATCTTCTAACATATTTTTATCACTTTTTAACCAGACTACGTGCTTACGTTGTAAAGAGACCGTATTGCAAAGCTGCGGACAAAACGGTCGTTTATCGACAGAACAATTCGTATTGTGGATTACGGATGCCGATAAAGAGGATGATTTTTTCCTCTACGTAATAAATAACTTACTGTTGTGTGGTAAGAATCTTTATTCTGTAGGTTAACACAGGGAGAACACTCGATAAGAGAAAAACATCACATATCTTCTTATATTTTTTTAATTTAGAATAACCTCTCTATTTATTTTTCTCTCCATTTGCGATTCAAGTGAAAAGATTCGTTCACAAAATGCAGATGAATATGGTCTGAGCATCTCTTCTTTAACCCTTAGACAGAGATACTACTCGTATTATGCATACATGTCAGCGTTCAGAAAAGATATGCACGTTTACTAATCTAAATTAAACAATAAACGACACAACGTAGCAGATGTCCGTCATGTGATAACATAAATGACAATAAATGTTAAAAATTGACGAAATGGAGGACATTTAAAATACAAAGAAGAGCGAGATGACAACTGACGTCAATGGAGAACTGTCCTCTCAAAAGGCGGACGGTTGGCAAACCTAGTCAACACAGAAACATTGAATTTTGACCCCACGTCAGGATGTCAGTCGTTTTTAGCCAGTCGTAAAGTCAGTCAGTTTGTCCTCGAATTATTCAGCTAGCCCTTAAGTCATTCAGGCAGCTAGCCCATACGTCAGGCAGCTAGCCCTCAAGTTAGTCAGTCAGTCAGTCAGAGATATGTCAAGAAAATTTCATTTGTGTAAATTTGGAAAAACGAAAGAAAACAATGTATATAATTTTATGTCTTCTTAAATAGTGAAATTACCACTATCTGTACGAAAACGTGGAATAAAACATTTGAAGCTGTTTTTGAGATACTGGCGTTTGAGCATTACTGAAAATGCAGGATTTTGAACTCGTTTTCGCAGAAAAATGTTGGGTTTTTGAGAAACTTTATAGAGTATAATTTAAAGCACATGTACTCATCAATGCAATAATGTGAAGAACTTCCTGCTAATGTAAATATTAACGACGTAAAAATATAGTCAAAAAATACATTTTTGTAATTTTTGAAAAATCGGAAGAATAGAGCGAAATGTCGTTTAGATAATCTCGTAGGGAACATTTAGCACTATCCCTACAAATATTTTAAAGAAAAAATTTCAAAAAGTTTTTGACAAAATCTAGTTTTAATTATTTTAAAAATTAAACATATTGCACGCAATATTGCACGAAAACTACTAAACGTTTCAAAAAATTTACATGACCTTCATGAAATAACTAATCATAAGAATAAATTTCAGTTAATGGTCAAATCTTTATCTTCAATTTTGTAGTTGTAGAGAGACGCCGAAAAAATTCAAACTTTTGCAATTTTCGAAAATTTAGAGTTAACATTGGGCCTATGCTACTTTTATAAGTGCATTTCACTTTATTATTACAAGAAATAAAAAACAAAAAAATATTTAGAGTCGTATTTGAGAAAATTTTGAAAGTGTCTCAGTGCACCCCCCAAAACAAATGAATGTTTTTCAAAGTCGCAAAGCTTCGATTCGAGCCAGATCGACCGGATAATATCCATTTTGGAAGAAATCCTATCCTATACCAATTTGAAAAAACCCACAGTTTTTCAGTATCAAGGTCCCACAATTTCTGAAATCTTACTACATAATTTCTTGTTATTGACTACATAATGTGGTATTAGAGTTAGTGTAATTTACTACTTATTAGAAGATATTTTAACTCCTTTTTCTATATTTGACCCCATCAATACGAATTTTTCTGACAAAAAATCATTGTTTTTGGCCCAACATTACATAACTTTCTCTATACTAGGTATATTACTCCTTGCGTATACGAGAAAGTATTAAGAGACTCTGCTACGTAAGCTGACAAAGACCAGAGTATGTACGAGTAAATCGGCCCTACCTGAACAAGTTTGCACTTGACGGGTAACTCGTCGGTGGATTTGTTGACCACCTCCAGAAGCAGCTGGACACGCTGACCAGGGACGTAACCCGTGAAGGGGAGTTGAGCCGCTAAAATCACGGGCCCCGACTTGCAGCACAAGCAGCACAGGTACTTCTTCTTCTCAGCCTGTACCGGCGTCTGCAACCCACAAAGCGAATATCATGCGAATTCATGGGTGTCACCGCATCGAAAGTATGTTTCCAACGCTTAGACCGGGCGGGCCCTATCGCGGGACCCTGTCGCGGGCAAGGTAACATGCTATTATTTACTTGGCTATCCGGGTGACACCGCGTCCGTGGCGAAAGTGCCGACACTTCGGTCGCCATTCCGAGACCTTCCTCAGGGCGTAATGTCTAGGAAGGTCGCAGAATGGCGACCGAAACATCGGCACCTTCGCCATGGACGCGGCGTCACCCGGACAGCCAAGTAAATACTGACTCCGGCCGCGGAAGCCTACGCTCTCAAGGTAACATGCTTACTGGAACTTGCGGACACTGTGTCCAGAGAAATTGGCGGGAGATATAAAACTAAGGGTTGTACAAATGGTGCATGACAGTCTTTGGCAGACGTTACTTGACAGTTGCTGTCACAAATTTAGCTATATTAGTTCCAATTTTCTCTTTAAGGCAAAGAAAGGATCCACTAAAATGATATGAAACATCAGTCGGATTTCAAATTTTCAATCCAGTAAAAACTTTATAAAATTGAATCAGAAGTATCTTGATTTTGTACTCTTGTTTATTTAAAAACATGAACTTCCTATATTCAGGTTAGAAGGTTTAATAGGCAAATATTCTTGTCCGCTAAAAGCACTGTAAACGAGAAACGTTTACTTATAGAGACTTTTTATTTTAATTCACATTAATGCAAAATAAATAAATAATTGAATGATTGATGAATGAACCGAAAACATTTCGAAAGAATTTGCCGAATTTTTTTCGAAAGAATTCGCCATTAAAATATATTCCTGTCAAAGATGTATATTGTAACACCTCCACTCATCTCCCGGCGAAGGGAAATGCGCGGTTAGCGGCCCGGTTATAGCTCAGTCGGTCCTATTCCCTTTACTCGTTTAAAATTTAGCAAATTGTAACAATTTACTTTGCTCATTTGAAATTAGGTGATGGAAGGAATTCTTAACGAAATTAATGGATATTCAAAATAAACAATTTGATCACTGGTAACAAGACAAATTTTATACCTGGACAAACTGTACCAGGGAAGTTAGATTAATAAAATAAAAGAAAGGAAAGATTGAATAAAAAGAAAAGAAACAGAGATTAAAATTGAAAGAAGGCTTACAACTAGAGAAGAGTACAAAATTATTTTATAGCTAGGATCTACAGTATTGTCTCTGAGGACCTTTCTTGTACCTTGGCGCGGCACCGCTTTGACAATACTTCAAATGGTTTATTGCCCCCAGTTACATTGCCTGAAAACCCTCCGTGGCAGATGTTCTGTAGGCCCGGGTGGCGCCGTAGGCGACCTTCACAGGAATTCGTTCGGGGCGCACGCCCTCACCAACGGTGGCTGCGGCGGTCAGTGGCGTCTGGCGGACGTCCGTGACGTGAGCAGATGGATCGTCTGGAGGCTGGTTCGGCGAAACTTGTAGATAACCGGGTATATCGCCCCCGATCGCTGGTGCGGAGAACACAACAATATCTCCCTCTGAACTATGCGAATCCTCTCAAATACAAATTCAGAAGTTGCGAAATCCGTGTACAAATAAGCGCAATTACAAAGGATTCGCCAATACTTTGAAGTTTTTTTGCACTCCCTCTAAAATTCTCACTGAGGAATTCCAGTCCTATCCATCCATGAATTTCAACTTAACTGAAAATTTTAACCAAGTGCCTTCAGAGGCGTTACTCGACTCTCCCCGAGCTTGGCTCTCACCCCAGAGAAGTCTCTCTACCAAACTGTCTTTTTGTCTCATAAAACGCACAAGTTAACTTTTCTCCCACCCTTTCTCCTCCAGTATGCTTTTGCTCCCTACAACGATTCGCGTCGCTATTACTAAGTGATGCGTTGTACACTAAATTTGCCAATAGAATTTTCCAATCGTTTCTGGTCCGTCGAACAAGTGTCCTTTTCTCTCGTCGTCTCGAAAGATAGCCCACGTCTCTGAAGGGGCTTCTCGGCTACTGAATTATTGCTTCGGTTTCCCCCGATTTCACGATACAGGCGTTTCGGAAGTAATCCAGATGTCCCTACGTTGGGCGCTTTTACAATTACTCTTTCTTCGGCCGTTGGGTGAGTGTCATAAACATTCGAAATGGGTCAGGGGATCGTGGCTGTTGCAAGAAGGGGGGCTGCGCTCGTGACGCCGTATGTTTTTCTTGAGTAAAAATTTCTTAGGTCTGCTTTACTAAATTTTATTTATCTTATTAATTCTGTACCGCTACAATATGAAGTGGCGGTCAATAAAATAGCACCATCATGCCATGATAAGAAAATTAAGGGATTTGTTTTGTAAATAACCTTGGTTTATAAATAAATAGCATATCTTTTATTTTGTACTCAGTGTGGAAACATAAATAAATGTTTACATGGCATTCAAATCCAAATTATTTTACAAATAACAAAAACTTTACAAAATATATTTTTATAAGGTCAAAAAATAGACATCTGATATAACGCCTTGAAAAAATAGCACAAAAAAAACAACTAAACATTTACCTCTCTTGAACGAGTTAGTGAACGGGTTGTGGGATATCCCTCATATTTTAGTTGCGCCCGGCATCGTCTTCCCAATGACCTCACATAACGTCTGTATTCCTCTTCTGGTGTTGAATACCATACCTTTTGTATTTTTCCCTCAGTTTGTCTACATTAGTTGCTTTGGATCAATCAATACTTCTATCAACACTTTCCCTCATTATCAGCACTATCACAAATTTTCAATTGGATTTAAATTTGGGGACTGTGTTGGCCAATCCAAAACTGCCCCTTCATCCTTCTCAAGAGAGAACTTCATTAATTTTAGGCAAGTTTTGGGTCCCTGTCTTGCATAAACTTCCAGACGAAAGACATTTCGTCACGAGTGTAAGGAAGCATAGTGGTCTTTAATATTTCTTTGCATATCTCCCCATTCATAATTCCACGAGAAACTTCCTCACACATTACACACCACCTCCATATTTCACGGCTTATGAAGTGTACTTGGGATTGTTTTCCTTGTTTAGAGGGCATAAACACATTTCCATATGAAGAACACCAATTACACTTGGATTCATCCGACCAGAGTACATTGTATCACCAAGAATCCTCCTTTTCCTTGTGTCTTTTTGCAAAAGCTAGTCGTTTAGCTATGTTTCATTGTGACACATGTGGTTTTCTATTTGGAATGCGTCCATTGTCCCATGTCCATAAGTCTCATGTGTCCGCGAAGTTTCTTCTTGGAATGCGTCGTTATGAAGTCCGTAATCTTCTCTCATCAGTTGGAGTAGATAATTCAACGTCATAAACCTGAGAGTTTTCATGTAGTACGTAGTAGTATAGGGAAAGTTATGTAATTGCTGCGGAAAATCGATTTCGAGATTCTCACGGAAATACACGTTTTGGGGTCCCCTGATACCGAAAATGTTTTTTTCAATACTTCCGTCCGTCTGTCCGTCAATGAATACTACTAACGCCTAAACCATACGAAGGATATTTTACAAATTGTAGAAAAGATATTGAAATCCATATGGCTCGAGTTCAATGTTTGAGATGTTGAAAAACATCTTTAAACTTTGGGGATACTTACATGAAGCTCCATGAAAATTTTCATTTTTTTTCAAATACGGCTCCTTGTTTTTCTTTAAATTTCTTGTAAGAATAGAGAAAAATACACCTAGGAAGGTGGCAAAGGACAGACGGACAGACGGACAAACGGGCAAACGGACAGACGGACAAACGGTCGGACGGACGGACAAACGGTCGGACGGACGGACGGACGGTCGGACGGTCGGACGGACGGTCGGACGGTCGAACTGACGGTCGGACGGACGGTCGGACGGTCGAACTGACGGTCGGACGGAGGGACGGACGGACGGACGGACGGACGGTCAGTCAGGGTTTGGCCGTCAATCGAGTTTTCGATATCAAGGATTCTGGCTGCTGCAAGTGTTAGAGAATTTTGATTTTGAAAGCAATGAGAAGTTTTCTACCGAAAATTCGTCGCTATTTCTCGCAGAATTACATAACTTTCTCTTCTTTAAACGTACCTTCGTAACGGCGAGAACAAAAAATAATGTTCTGGTAGTTACATAGAAACTCAGTATTAGCATTAGACAATAACATGCTTAATTGTAAATTATCCATAAGGTCAAACCTACAGCATACAGTTCTGGACAGTATTAGACAATATTCAGACAATATTCAAATCATTGAATCTAAAGTATTCAGAAACATTGCCAATGCTCCCTGGTATGTTCAAAACGATGTGATTGACAGATATTTTAAAAAGACAAAAGTAAATGAAGAAATAAAAATTATAATTTTAAATATGTTAAAAAAATTAGAAAGTAATGCCAGCATTTTATCCACAAATCTGTTAGATAATCATTTAGAAAAAACACGTCTTAAAAATTCAAATCTCTGTATTTCCGATACAGATTTTGTTGAGTTATATGTGTAGCAACTGTATTAATGGAGAGAAAGGTACTAAAGAGTATCTTCACCAATCATGGTTAATTAGACAAGAAATTCACTTCTTAATCTCGTGCATGAAGATTGTACATAAGCATTTAGTACATAAAAATATCCAACGGCGTATGGAAGTGATAGGGATAAAATCTACTAGCATATTCGAAATTTTATGTTCAAAGAATGCATAATATGATCGGGCTACTACCGGCGTCAACTGATGTCAATGCAGTGCCTCTGACCGGGAGGTCCTAGGTTCGAGTACCGATGGCAATCCCAGTGGATAGATTTTCGACACTAACTTGTGAACTACGTCGAATTCAGGCGCTGTCTGGGGGAGAATTGTAGAGGCCGGCTGCTGTGATCGGTAGTTTTTCGTGGTTCCTTCGATCAACAGGCGAATGCCGGAGAACTACCCTAACAAACTGGCCACGACCCGCACGCGATCTTTCCTTCCTCTTCTTTGTCCTATTCTCACCCCTACACACACTTAAAATAGCATGCAATACACTACCACACATGCCGGGAGACCGGTCGGGAGCTTAGGGCTTGTCCCGGCTGGAGTGGTGAGAGATACCCAACCCGCTCGCAGAGGCTATGTCGGTGCCGGATCTCGCCATCCAGATGGAGATTACCGCCATCTCCCGATGAAAACATGTACTACACTTACGGGACTCAGGTCCTCTGTAATTGGTGCGCCCGGAATCACTAAAAAGCAACCAACCAACCGGGCTCCTCTTCCTATGAAGCAGAAAGAGGGCCGGTTAAAGGCCAATGGTTACCTATTCGGCGAATATCTTAGCTTCTCTGTGCTCTCCTTCGGTAATCATTTCTTTGTAACACATTGTGTACTGTCCAAGAGAATATTAGAAGAAGAAATGAATTAATTCGGTGGAAGACATAGTTTACGTATATTACATTAATTTGGTTTCACCAAGAGGAAAAATCCCCAAAAGGAACAAACACCGATGGGGAGCCTCATTTGAGGCCCTTGAGTTCGGGGGCCCAGGGTCAGCGCACCGGTTGCACCAGGTAGCTAAGCCCCTGATAGAATCGTGATAAAATGCAACGAAACAATATTATCTTTACCACACTTTTCACGAATAAAATATTTTAAGTTTGTCAGATATTTATCTACTTGTCTATTTCAAATAAATTAGGTATCTACCTGTACGTAATGAAGGGTATTTAAATCTATGACGTTTAAAACTGTGTAAGCCACTTTCACTTCATAGTTGGATCTCCAGGCTCGAACAATTTTGGCTTTTACTGTGTACCTCACATGTCCATATTTTCCCTCAAAGGAGGATGGCGATTCCTCAGGTAATGTTAAGTTAAAGTTGTAGGAATACTCTCCTGGTGGTAGCGTTATGTCATCATCTGTTCAGGAAGACATACATTGTATCAGAATTAAAATAGTAAAATTATTGGCGAATATTTAATTACTAATGGAATAAAAATGAAATAAAATAAAAATAAAATTAAACAATTTCACATGAAGACATGACAATATGACGCAAAGGTTTTATATAATGTTACGTCAAACACTAAATGTGTTTTCAAAGTGTAAAATGCAACTAATATTCACTCGTAAGTGAATTCTAGTAATATAAATTATCGATTGATAATAACTATCATTCATATTACAGTTATATGTTTAATATTAAAAAACGAAAATTAATGTTTCATTCTTTAATAAACATTCTCATTGACAAATATAATTACAATTTTATACATGACTCCTTTCATTTAGCAATATGCCTACCTAATGTTGTGTAACCCCACCAATTCAAATAAAGGCTGTATACTGTTTGTAATAGCAGAAACCTAAAGGTGGGAAGAAGTGTTTCCCAATACGTTTTTAGTTTAACATATGTATTTACAGTACGTCATTACGGTTTTTACTTTTTTATTAACAATATTGACTTGGCTCTCTTTTAAACCAACGTTCTATGGAACAGCTTAATAAACTCATATGAATTTTGAATTTGAATTTCATATTTGAATTTTTTCCTTGTTACTTCCATATAAAATTGATGTTTTCTTCTCAGTAAGACTAATATTTATGCCACGACTGTCTGTAAAAAGGAATTAAAATTAAAGTTTCGTTCTTTATTTTCTGCCTCGCTACATGTCTTGCACGAGGTGTGCAAACTCGAATGAGTAGCTCTCCTTGATTTTCAAAAATTAGAATTTGTATTTTGTGCCTGGCATCCGTTTGAATGAGTTTGAAGTTGAAGGTGCTTACCTTTTCCTCCGAGGGCGAAGACGGAGTGGTTCACGTAATATTCCCAAGCCCCGTATATGGTGAGGCTGAGACCGAAGAATATGTTATAGCTACTTTCTGACCACGCCGCCTCAGCTCCTCCGGCGAACTTTATTTCAATAGCTGTGAAAATATAAAAGCACACTCAATTTATATTTTTTTCATTGATTAGATCAAAAACACTTGTCAATTATTCTTTCTCGCTACGGAGAATAGAGAAAGTTATGTAATGCTGCGCGAAAAAACGGCGAATTTTCGGCAGATAAAAGTCTTATTGCCGGGCCCTGGTAACGAAAAGTGGATAAATCCAGTTGCTAAATTTATAAAAAAAGTCCTCTAATACATGGTGTAATCAGAATCCTTATTTTGTGAGTCCCTGAAAACGATAAATCGATTGACAGTCTGTCCGTCTTTGAACAACGCTAGCGGCTAAAGCGTTATGCCGATTTTCTCCAAAATTGACATTCGCCTATCAATCTGACTGATGTTGCGGACCCTTGAATTTGAAACTTGTATTTCCATTCGGGAACAAAATTAAACACTAAAGTAAGTTTATTATGCTACGCATTCACAATTCTTTCAAATTCTGTCAGCCTGCATGCAGCTCGTTGCGTATATTTTGCAAATGTACATTCCCACTTGAAGCGGGTACTTTACATGAATCTCCTGGGACATTTTCCAAATTTTCAAAATAATGGTCCATCGTTTTCAATTACATTTTGTTGTTAGAAAGTGTAAAGGACATTTAAAAAAAATGGTGCAAATCTCATTTTCGTTGAAAGTTATTTTATTCGAAAATTACAAGAGCTCAAAATATTTTCTGCGTCTTCCTCCAACTACAGTTGTGAAGATAGAGATTTTTTGTTTAATTTAATTTGTTTCTTAAAGATAGATTTTCGAGTAAGGCAATGCACAATATTTGGAAAATTTGAGTACTTTTCGCGTAATTGTATGGGAAAATACGGGCATTAAATACTGCTATTTTAACATAACTAGTTAATGTAGTAAGTACTAGTGTCACGGAGAACCAAACGTCGTGCTGACGAGTGTGTGAAAAATGGCTTTCCGGAACAGCAAACGTTGGCTGTTCTGAAACTGCTTTTGTGAATACTGAAGCTTCTCAACTTCCTTATAGCATGACTTCATCTGTATCTGTAGAAACTCTCTTTTTCTTTTACTACCATACCTGATTATAGTGCGTAGGCTAGTTTCCAGAAGCCCCCATATCCCTTCTCTCACGGTTCTGTTTGCCGATGACACGAATGTTCTTTGCAAAAATGAAACAATAAGTAGTACGATTTTAGAAGTTTCAAATTGGTTTTGTAATAAAAAATTAATAGTAAACGAAGGAAAAACAGTTTCAATGCGTGTTTGCATTTCAAATCATCAAACGCATGCTACATTAAAAATGAACAATACGCAATTAGCTGATATACAGGTAAAAAAAATTCTAGGTCTCTCAATTCAGTCAAACCTCAAATGGAAGGTACATATAACAAAATTAAACACTAAATTAAGTGTATGCTACGCATTCACAATTCTTTCAAATTCTGTCAGCCTGCATGCAGCTCGTTGCGTTTATTTTGCAAATATACATTCCCACCTGAGATATGGCATAAAATTCTGGGGAAACTCATCATGTAGAACTCAAACCTTTAGATTGCAAAAAAAAATTATTCGAATAATGAACAAATGTCATCCGCGTGATCCCTGCAAGCCTCTCTTCATTGACCTTGGAATCTTACAACTGCCTTGCCTATATATTCACTAATCTGTAATATTTGTCAAAAGTGACTTCGTTAACGGTGGGAACATATTTTCATGAAATACTTATATTTATAACTATGACACACGTCGTAAAAATCACGTTCATCAAGTGTCAGTATCACCAGCTTACTATCAGAAATCCACATACAATTCATGTACGTTACTTTACAACGCACTGCCAGATGATATTAGACTATTGAAGTCGGTTCACAAGTTTAAATTAAAAATAAAATCTTTTCTGCTGCATAACTCTTTCTATACAGTCACAGAGTATATTGATTATCAAAAAGAAATATAATGTTGAAATATAATGGTATGAGTAGAGGTAAGGGCGAGTTACTATTTTGTTAGCAATGAAGAAAAATCATACTACCAATTATTTTACCGATGCAAATAAGTTTTCTATAATTCGGAAACAAAAATGCCTATTTTTTCAATTATTGGTAATCTCGCGATATTTTAAAATTCATTTTTATTTATTTATTTATTTTAAAATTTTACTTATCTTTCAATTGTTTATAGTTAAAATAACAAGAAGGGATTCTGGAACTCAAGAAAACGTGCGCAGATAATCTTTTCCCCCATACGTCACGTACAGTTTTTACTGTTTTTTTTATTAAATAAATCTAAATCTAATCTTCCTCGGGCGTGCCGCTAGATACATCGAACTACTTGATATGGTCGCGATCATGTGACATCTAGCGGCATGACCGGAGAAGACGCGAAATGACATGATATATCCCATCGTGAAGACAGCCACTTGAGCGCCACGTTATAAGAACCCGAGTTTAATTTACAGAGCTGTTGCAAACGTAATGGCCCCCACAGACCAGGACTAAACGTTCGCGGCGAGAGCCGCGGCCATAGTTCCACACTAGCAAGGATTGTCTACCGTCCTCGATTTGGAAGAATAGTCCATTGACATCAATTGTCCTCTCGTTCTCCTTTGTATTTTAGATGACCTCCATTTTGTAACTTTTTAACATTTTTTGTCATTTATTTTATCACATGGCCAAGATCTGCTACGTTGTATCGTTTATTTAATTTAGAACAGAAAACACGAATACACTTTTTTTTGAATACTGACACACGTACATGACACACGCGAGCATGATAGTCTCTGACAAGAGACTAAAAAAGAGACGCTCCGGCCACTTCATCTGCATTTTGTGAACTATCTTTTCAGTTGAATCGTAAATGGAGAGAAGAAAGAAACCGAGCTAATGTTACTCTAAATCAAATATTTAGACAAACAAATGTTTTGATGCGTTTTTAATTTTTTAAACATTAAGAAAAATTGTTGATTTCTTTATCGAGTGTTCTCTTTTACAGGAACCTTGTTGGCAACCCTAGTGCTGGCCGTGGTGATGAAATTCGCTGGTGATAAAATTCGCTGGCACCCTGCCAATCAGATTTGAGGGAGCGTTTGGCGACTTATTTCCTCATCCGATAAAGGAGAGGCGCTCAGTTTCATTCCTGTAGGAGATAGAAAATTCAAAGTTATTCGTATTGAGTTTTCTGAGAATATGCGGAACGGTGGTTTTAACTTCTTTATTTACGATTTACCATGAAATTATCACGAAATATCTCTTTAGATAACGAAGAAAATAGGTCCATGATATTGACTTAGAAACAACAAAGAACGGGGAATTTCATCCCTTGATGCCACAATTTGTGGCCGGGTTACGACGGGAAAGGAGGAGAAACGCTTTAATTATTAGTGACTTTTCATGAAATTTTGAATATGATCGCAGACAATACAGTAAGAAAATATGACAGTTAACAATGAAGCTATCTCATCTCAAAAACGAAAAATGACTTATGCCAGGCAAAATTAAATCCCTCCGACAACACCCGCCCAAACGTGATCTCACTTTCTCCCAAACAGTAGCTACATAGCTTGAATATAGTTCAATAAGACCTACATTTGCCGGAGAAAGTGAGAGTCAAACCACAGGCGCACCAGGGGAGCACCCACGAGGCGCCCCTGCTCGATAAGTTCCCCAGACCCGCGCCGGAGGTAAATAAATGATTCGTTGCTTCCGATACTGACGCAACGCGTCACTAAACCCCTAGTAAAAACGTTGAGCACTTGCTTGGAGTAATCCTCCGTTAAAATTATTATTATTATTATTATTATTATTATTATTATTATTATAATTATTTGAAGTAGTCCTCCGTAAATTTGTTACTTCCAAGGATGCCTGAGTGGGAAGGTAGGCTTTAAAGGAAAATTCGATTCGGAACACTGCCTAAGGGCAGTCCCCGCTAAGAATTCCGTACGCTAAATAAATAATGACTTGCTTTTGTATGAATGTAAGAAAGTGAAGTATTCCGTTAACGGGAATAATTCCAATACAAATTATATGTATTGCTCGCAAATCACCACGTAAGGCGAAACTTCCGCTTCGGATGTTTCACATCGGCTCATAATCATAATATTAAATTATTACTGCAAACATGCGTGTGTTTGGTGGCAGTTAATAAACTAGTGAATTGAATTGAATTTGCCTTATTTTACGCGGCGAGACTCGGGCCATCAGGCCCGCTCTTCCGTCTGACCACGCCCTTAAAAATCCACGGCTTCGATCGGGTTTGAACCCGCTAACTTGGATACAACAGTCCAGTACACTAACCGTTACACCATCGCGGCCGCACTAGTGGTGCTAAAACAGCGTATACTTTCTCATCCTTAGTAATAGTTACGCAATACTATTTGTACCGCAATTTCTCTCCGTATTGACACATCTCAGAATCATTTTTTGCAAAAGTGATTGCATTGTGTACAAATTATAGAACATTAGGTGCGGGCTCCTCCGTCTGTGGTTATCAGACTCACAAGGCTTTTTGCGACAACACACATACATGAAAGACAACGTGCGAACAACCACGCCCGCGACTGCACTCTAACGACATCTTGGTCATCTTGGTCATCCAGGTCGACAATTAAAACTGCGTTTCATACAGATAAATCATGTGATGATCATGTGAACAAAGATACGTAATTCACAGAACTACCGCTGCCCTCTCGCGGTGCGAAATGACACAATCGCATTCCAATCTGATATTTCCTGAAGGCCAGCATCTTTTTTTATACTACATTTAAATCGTATGATTAAGAGAGAACACATAATTGGGCTAATTCCAATTAAGGTTTGCGGATTGCTTGAAAGGAAACACATCAATACATTAATAATAAAACTAGCGTACCCGTGCGAGAACACTGTCTTGTTAATCCCCACCCTTTCCCTATCCATTCTATTAAGAATGAAAGTTTTTAATGAAACGTTGTCACGTATTACAAAATGTATAAATAAATGTATAAAAACTTCGTACATACTGAATATAAAAAAGTA